TTATGTATTTTGGAGCTCTATTCTTAAATGAAAGCCACAACACATATTTCTGGCAAACTGTTTCTTCCATTTTTTTTTTAAAGAGAGAGTGAGAGAGGAGAGAGAGAGAGAGAGAATTTTTAATATTTATTTTTCAGTTCTCGGCGGACACAACATCTTTGTTGGTATGTGATGCTGAGGAGGATCGAACCCGGGTCGCACGCATGCCAGGCGAGCGCGCTACCACTTGAGCCACATCCCCAGCCCTGTTTCTTCCACTTTAATATGGACCTTCAGTATCCCTAAAATGCTTTTTATTTTAAGACCAATTCTGTCTGATATAGACCGTGGTGCCATCTTTCTTATTTACCTAATACATCTTTTCAAACCACCTTTTTTTCAATATGTATGTGTCACCGGGTTTTAAATACTGTGTTTCTTGTAAATAATGTTTACTTGTGCTATGCTTTGTTTTGTGTTTTACTCCAATCTGAGATTCTCTTTTAGTGGGAAAGTTTTGATTATTGATATTTACCCCAATCACTCATATGTTTGGAAATATTTCTACTCCCTTATTTTGTATTTAATGTTTGCCATGTTTTTTTTTTCCTATCTTAGTCTTTTAGTCAGCTTTTTCACTACTGTCACTAAAAGATCTGACCACAGCAATTTTAGAGGAAGAAAAGTTTGAGGGCTCACAATTTCAAAAGTCTCAATCCATAGACAGCAGGCTCCATTCCTGGGGGCTGGAGGTGAGGCTGAACATCATGGCAGAAGAGGATGGCAGAGGGAAGCAGCTCATATGGTGATCAGAAAGCAGAGAGACAAATACAAACATGGGCTGGGATTGTGGCTCAGCGGTAGAGCCCTCACCTAGCGCGGGCATTGCGTTGTGTCCATCTACATCTATATATATATATATATATATATATTTTTTTTTTAAATCATTTACCCCCAAACCATGCTCCCAATGCACCACTTCCTCCTACCTGCCCTAATTATCTCTGAATTAATTCACTGATTGGGTTAAGGCTCTCATAACCCAATCATTTCTCCTTGAAACCTTCTTGCATTGTCTCACACACATGAACTTTTGGGAGCTACCTCACATCCAAACAATAATACGTAGTTTTAGACTTATGTTTTCTATGAGCTTTATTTATGAATGTGTTATATTTATATATAAAATGTACCACATATAACATATCACATGTATATAAAATATTTACACTTACACATAAAGTTTCCCTTTTCTTTTTAGTGTTAATTTTTATATTAATAAACATTATAAGTTAGTAAGTTTATACTTTACTACCCTCACAAACAATAAGAACTTTAGAATACCTTGATTCTGATCCCTCATTCCCATCTTAACTTGGTATTATCTGCCAGAGTTTTTGTTCCATGTCATTTTCATACACCTGAAAGTTGTTCAGGCATGACTAGATCCACATGCTTAAATGATTAAAATACTAAAACAGATCCTTAAAACAATGGCTCAAATGAGAGATGTATGTTTCTTTCTCACATCACAGTCCAGTAGTGAATGGGTGGGCCAAGTGCTAGACCCCATGAGGTCATCACCTAAACAGCTTTCTTCTATCTTGTTTTTATGCCCTTCCCTCCCCAGGATTAAATTCTGACCACAACATTCTTAACCATCATATTGTACTCTTAAAAACTTGTTTTAACTACCCAAATGATAATTGCCTCTACCGTGTCCACATTCTACCCTCTAAGGAGGAAGACAAAGTTGAACACAAGTAATTATTATAAGGAAGTGACCTGGAAGTATATATGGTTGTGTTATGCTGCAAGGAAGGTTGGGAAATGTAGTTTCTGGCTGGATGACCAAAGAGTCCATCTAAAAGTTGGGGGCTTTGTTACAGCAAAATAAGGAGGGAATGGGCTTTGGTGTACAAACATCAGAATCCTGTGTTCTCTTCTGATGTTTTCTGTGTTTATTTTAACTGTAGGCAGCTACCCCCCAGTGACTGGGAAAAAAAAGTTACTAACAATAATAACCTCATGGTCATTAACAACAATAATCACATGATCTCTCATTTTAGCAATTCCAATAAAAAAGAGAAAGTATCTATTTAGGATGATTTCTCCTGACTGGTTCAATGTAGATCATATCACTAAACAAGTTGCTTTGATCAGACAGATGCAGTCCCCTGGTAAACAGGTGTGTCATTCATCTGCTCAAAAAGGTTGGTGGGATAGGCATACCCCAAACCACATAGCCTGAAAGTAGGAAAAAAAGTTGTCTTCAAAAGTCAAATATTAAGGTGCTGTTAACACCAGAATGAATGCTGAATAAGCCACATAATAGATAATCATTAAAATTGTTCCATAGGGCTATTGGATGGTCTAAGGATGTTGTAGAACTGAATGTATTTTAAAAACTCAAGTAAATAAATATGGAAAGTGACTTGATAACAGAGTTGTTTGAAATGCTCTTGCTTTCTGTTGTCCAGTTTAGGTGCCATTCACTCAGCACCTATGTTCACCTGTTATACTGACCATATTGTGTGCCAATTATTTACTTATGTCTGTCTCCCAGGCCTCCCATAACACACACTTCCAATTGACAGCTTCTCTAGACCTAGATTCCATTTGTGTCTGATAATGCCCTAGGCACAGAGTAGGCATCAGGGGACCAGACTTATTTAAAATGAAAGAAGGCTAAATTCTCAATGACCCCCAGAAAAGACATCCCCCTTCAATTCTTGGCTCTCCTTATTGCCTTTGTAGATCATTATTACAATGATATTAGTCAAATCCAGGGATTGGGATAGGAAGCATCAGAACAAATTATGTTGCTTATAGAAATTTATCTCCTAATGACTGGAAAATTGTAGCAGCCATCCTTTTATTTATGGAATTCAAATCAAATCACCAAGAGGAAAGACCCAAGTGGGAGGAAGTTCAGGAGATAATTGACTAATCCAGCTGTCTTATCATCCTGTTTGATTCCAAGGTTAAAAAATCGGGGCTGTGTTTTGCAATCAATTCCTAATCTAAACATATAATGACTTTCTCTCCCAGAAACATCAATGCCAGCTTAAATGATGCTGAAAAATATGCCTTTATTTGAGGGGAAAGAAGCTGAACATCAGGCAATGTAACTAGGGGTAGGAAGTGGAGAACAGTGTGGGAGACACATGTGGAGAGACATCAAGGACAGACCAAAAGGTAACCAGAGAAACAAGAACCTTGCCAGAGAAGTATCTAAGTGGCTTGCTTAGGAAGTGCCAACTATGTGTCTTCTGGGTGTGTATTTTGAATATAATAGCCACCATTTATATGCCACTGTTATATGCTAGATATGGTAGCAAGCATGGTAAGTGCATGTTCTCATTTTACTTTTCAGAACAACATTGCAAGTTCAGAGTTGGCACCCTGGTTCATAGATGAAATTTAAGACCAGAAAGTTGCAATGATTTGCCCATGGCCATACAACAAGGACTACAAATGCTGGGATTTGAATCCCTGCAGATTGGATTTGGCTCAAAGCTTTTGCTCTGAGTCCTTCACTATCACAAGAATATCACCTTATGGCAAGTATTATTTCCTCCATTTTCCAGAAAAGACCGAGGCTCAGGGATGACCCAAGACACTGACAAGGCCCAGGGATGACAAAGACATTGTCTGATTCAAAAAATCTATTTTTCCTCCAAGGTAGAAGACCATGGGGAACAGGGATGCCCCCTGCCAGAAAGTCCCTGCAGGTCAGACCCTACACTTTCCTGGGGGAATAGTCCCCCTCCAGTTTACCCCTCAATTTCCTCACCTATACCCCTATCCCAGAATCCTATTACCATCGACTTTCTCCCGCTATGGCCTCTGGGCTGAAGAGGAACCCTGTGGTTCTTGGGAAGGTCTAAGACACTGCTTCCCAAGGATCTTCCAGGGAACAAATAATCAGGACACCCCAGCCTGAGGCCCCCATTTCCACACATCTGAACAAGGCCTGACACCCATTAAGTGCTTGGATCAGGAGCCAGTCACACTGGGTTCAAATACAGTCCCGTGACGGACCAAGCAGCACCTCTCTTTTTAAAAATATCTATTAAGGGACAGACATTTCACAAGGGATTTCCTTCCATATTTCATCTAATATTTCTTCTCCTTCAATGATTAGCTCTATTTTACAAAAGAAGAGCCTCAGGTTCCTGGAGGTGAGGTGACCAGCACAAGGGCAGCAAGTGCTTGAGACTTGAACCTACCAAGGCCACAGATCCGCTGTTGCCTGGGAGCAGAGGAGGGAGGAGCTGCCAGAGCTGAGGGAGGAGGGGAAAGAGAGGGCAAGCTCCCAGCAGCGCGCGCTGACGACAGCAGGTGATTTTTTTTTCTGCAGCGCTCTCCCTCTCAGCATCTTTCCTGGGTCCCCCCCCAACCCCCCTTACTGAGCGGCAGAAAAGGGTGGGGCCGCCTCTCTGCAGCAGAGGCGGCGGCGGCAGCGGCTGCAGCATCATCCAAGGCAGCAGCGGAGACGGCGGTGCTCGGTCTGCGCTGGAGGTGATCGCCTCCATGCCCTACTAGGTGGCCGGCTGCTACTGGACCGGCGGAAAGGAGAATCAAGCCCGGTCCGTGGAGCCTGCAGCCACACCACCCAGCACTTCCTCTGCGCCATGGCTTAAGCCCGCAGTCACCTCGCTTCGCCTCGCCTCGCTCCCCAGGGTCTGCGCGCCGCCGCAGCAGCAGGGAGGGGCGCGTCCCAGACGCCCTAGCCGGGGACTCCAGGACGCCGTGCAGCTGGCCCTTCGGCGCTCGGCGCTCGCAGCAGCTGCGTTCCGAAGGCGTTTGCAGCCGGTAATCGAGGCACTTTACAGACTTTATCTTAGCGATAGCTCTCCCCGGGTGCTCTCTGAGGGAGGAGGGCGAAGTAGTAGGCTGATTGGGGGAGAAAGCGGTGGGAATCACATTGGTGGGTAGGGGCCAGGGGCTGAAGGAAGATTCTAGAGACTTGCTTTAAAGATACAAAAAGAAAGAGGGCCAGTTTTGCATCTAGCATCATGGCGTGGCCGTGCATCACACGGGCCTGCTGCATCGCCCGTTTCTGGAACCAGTTGGACAAGGCGGACATAGCGGTGCCGCTGGTTTTCACTAAGTACTCGGAGGCCACCGAAAACCCGGGCGCCCTACCGCAGCCGCCACCGCCACAACAGCAGCAGACTCGGCCCCCCTCGGCGCGCGCGGTCGCCATAGAGACGCAGCCGGCCCTAGGCGAGTTGGATGCAGTTGCCCGGGCAACAGGGCCAGCGCCCGGGCCTAGCGGCGAACGTGAGGCGGCGGCGGCTGCCTCCGCCCGAAGTGGGCTGGGCCCCGGCGCGGGTTCCGGCTCCACCCCCAGGGCAGGCCCCGCGGACTCGGTGATGCGGCAAGATTACCGCGCCTGGAAAGTGCAGCGGCCTGAGCCTAGCTGCCGGCCGCGCAGCGAGTACCAGCCTTCGGACGCGCCCTTTGAGCGGGAGACCCAGTATCAGAAGGACTTCCGTGCCTGGCCGCTGCCGCGCCGCGGGGACCACCCGTGGATCCCCAAACCGGTGCAGATCCCCTCGTCATCTCAGACTACCGCGCCTATTCTAGGGGCGCCCAAACGCCGGCCGCAGAGCCAGGAGCGTTGGCCGGTGACCACCGCCGCCGAAGCCATGGAGCAGGACGCCCCAGGAGGAACCGGTGTCCTGGCGGCCGGAAAGGCTTCCGGTGCGGAAGACACCCGCAAGAAGGCCGGGCCCGCCTGGATGGTGCGTCGCTCCGAGGGGCACGAGCAGACGCCCCCGTCTGAGGCTCTAGCGCAGGCACAGGCCCAGGCGCAGGCCGGAGCGGCCGGAAAGGCGTCCGGTGCAGACGAGCGCGACACTCGCAGGAAGGCGGGGCCCCCCTGGATGGTGCATCGCACCGAAGGGCAAGATCAGATGTCTGTGCCGGCTGCTCAGGTCCAGGCCGAAGAAGGTGGCCCGGCGGCTGGAAAAGCGTCTGGTGGAGATGAGCGTGACACACGCAGGAGGGCCGGGCCCCCCTGGATGGTGCATCGCTCCGAGGGGCACGAGCAGAC